ACGGTTCAGCTACCTTTCCTCGAAAACAAGCACAAAATAGCAAATCATTGGCACAGAGACCAAAGCATAATAATTACCATTGAACACCTCGGCTTCTTTAGACACATTCAGCATTCAAGCCTCGCAGGTTCGGTTTCTCAACCACCTCGGCTTCTTCAGACGCATTCAGCATTCAAGCCTCGCAGGTTCGGTTTCCCAACCACCTCGGCTTCTTCAGACGCATTCAGCCTTCAAACCTCGCAGGTTCGGTTTTTCCAACCACCTCGGCTTCCTCATATGCCATTCGGCATTCAAGCCTCGCAGGTTCGGTTTTCCAACCACCTCGGCTTCTTCAGACGCATTCAGCCTTCAAACCTCGCAGGTTCGGTTTTTCCAACCACCTCGGCTTCCTCATATGCCATTCGGCATTCAAACCGGTTCAAAAAATTCAAAAATTCTTTCAACTTTTACTCCGTTAAAGTCCACGCATTACATTAATGATCATACTTGGACTTGGGGGACTATTGTTGCGTGTTGTCACACCTGTCCTATCCACCTAGGCCAGTGGGCCACTCATCTGACCTACGTGGCATTCCTGCCGGAGTGGCCCACATTGTCGAGGTGAGTTACATCCGAACTACTTCTAACCGAGGCTCCGTGGCCCGAGGCGTGGAAGCTCTTGGTTGTAGCTGAGGTCCTCGAATGAACGAAGCCCCGGAGTTGATGCGCGAGCCTCAACCACAAGGAAACATCCTCCATGGTCACTTCTCCCAAGAGATCGCCTGCACAGATCTTATTCGAATGATTGATGGAATGTCTGTCATAAGCATAAAGGTCAAGTCTTGTCACTAGCGTGGAGGCCCTGCACAAGCAATAAATGCGCCGTAAGCTAGCAAGTCAAATCCCATGCCTAAGAACAGACGTTTAAACTAAGGAGATGAGACCACGTGCCACTTCATCCGAGGGCCCACATTCCATATGTATCACTATAAATACCCCCATTGTATAACGTCAAAGGACTAATGCAAGAATCAATACTAAAGACTACATTTTACTCAACTCTCTCCCATTTTACTTGCAATACACAAATCGAGCTTATACATTTTTGCATATATATCTACGAGCACCGGTTGTTAATTATTGTACAATCGGATTACGAACAACCCGTCGGATCCCGAACGTCACCGTCTCGCGTCGTTGGGTTACTCCCACGCCCCTTTGAACCGCTCGTTTAGACCGTCCACGTGTCTTAGCGTGTTGGACATTCGCCCACCTAAGCGCGGGTGGGACCGGTATCTGTTGGCGCACTTTTTGGGGTCAACAGGGTCCATCTGTGAAAGAAGAAGTCAAATATGACGATTGAAATAGTGAAATAACGATCAAAAAATCACTCTCAAACAAACTGTAAAAATGTGTAATAATATTGTTAATTATAGTGTTGAAGCACCCACATACCGCTTCTACCAACCAGCTAAAAGCACATCATTGCTTATTTCAATGTACTAATATTCTTTACGAAGAGTTCTCTGATAAGCAATTCCATTTTTATCTAGGTTTTTTCACCTTGTCAGTGTCACACTAACAAACCACCTTTAATGGCTTATGTCCGAGTATTTCTCTTGCTATGGAACCTTCATCTCCTCCCATAATAAAGATTGTTTTTGGACGAATGCACAGTAACGAATAGGTTTACAAGTAATACAAATTTTCTTATGAATATAGGATCGGCCAATTATAAATCTTTAGTAACTACCGTATCTATTCATAGAGTTCACTTTAGAGACTTATTTCAATTCACATACCTCCTAATTAATGCTATTAACTACTCATGGGATCCATCAAAAACTCATTCAAATTTACCACCAAAATGGTTATGAAACCCATTTAATGCCCATAAATTCCGACAAAGCCTTTTAAACACCTCACAAATTAGATGTTATCGCATAAACCCTTTGCCATGCTCATACGGTCATACAATTCCAGCAATTAAAATAAAGGGTTTTGCTAGAATAATAGGGGGCTATCGAACCCCACCTGTAGGAGGGGCGGTTCTCGGGCGACCCCGCCTCCTATGGGTGGGGTTGGTCAGCCCCCCTGTTTTTTCTAGCAAAACCCTAAAATAAATAGTTGCCAACTTTATTTTCTTGGCTTTCATCGAGACAACCCTCTCCTTGTTCCCTCTTCTTAAAATTGTGTAAAATGGAGAATTTGTGAGGTTATTGGAGCTTTTACTCGGAGAGAATCACTATACTGCAGCTTGAAATTGATTCGACTCGCCGATTATAATTTGGTTTGTGTGTTAAAATTATTTGGTTTGATAGAAAATTTATTAAACGTTTTAAATGGTCTAAGTTGAAAATATCTCAAGAGTAAACTAAACCGTTTGATCTGTTTTCGGTTTTTTCCTTAATTTTCTTTGTTAAATACATCCGACCAAGGATAGAACTAGAATTTTATTTTGGAGTGGGATTAAAAGTTTATGAATGAGGTAAAAAGATTGTATGTCAACTTTATGTAGTAACAGAACAAACAACAGTTAAGGTAACGAGAAATTTTGTAATCACCCACCCTTGTCCAATTCCAATCTTTGTCCAAGAATAAAATTTTTAAATAATATAAAATAACTTATTTCCGTTTTCTATTTTGTTATTGAATCTTGTTTGCCTTTTATAATGCTCAATTGCTTACTGGTCACTATAGGCTAATTATTATTTATTGCATCACATTTTAATTGAAGTGACGAGTCCTCAATATGCTCATTATAATACTCATGCTCTTTTTTCTTTTTTTTTGAAATCTTATCTTCAATATTAAATCAATTAACACATCTTATCCTTGAAAATGATTTTTTTTTCGAAAGTTTTATTTACGTGCTTTGAAATGAGAAAAAAGTTATCTATCACACCGTTACTTTTATTATTTTTTTTTAAATATAATTTAGATAAATAATTTATGCCCTCCCAACAAATTTTTTGAACGAAAATTGCTATTGAAAATGAGACGTGTTAATTAATGAAATGTCGAAAATAAAAAGCATCTAAAAAATGTTAGTACACTAGATCTATAATGGTAAAGATTGAATATCTTAATTACAATTAAAATGCAAAATAGCTATGGTATGACCATAATCGAAACCGTTCCTCCTACTCATAAATTTGACACACTTATAAATTAAGAGCCTGTTTGAGGGGCATTCTTCCTCCAAAAAAGGAAAAAATCCTACTGTTAAAGTACGGACACTTGTTGTCCATTGTGAGAGAAAGTCAACAAAAGCTGCCACCTGCTGCCCTCCAATGGTACAATTATTCATTAAAATGGGGCAAAAAAATGTAGCACAAACAAGCTCTAAATAAGTGTGTCAAATTTATGGATAGGAAGAAATGCCCGGAATATAGTTATTCATTACTATGTCATATTGATAGTAGCAAGCAGTACAGAATTCCGTTTTGCTTAAAGAGTTTGGTAGTGGTTCCAATTGGTTCTACAATCTATGTTCAGACTTTGACATGTTCAAGTTCTCATAAGATATTAAGCCATGTTTGAATCCCATTATTTAAAAAATTCATTTTTGCTCAAACTCATTTTCAACCACACATTTCGATTTCGCATATAAAACCGAAACCTTTTCCATTTTAACCAATCTAACGGGACACAAACAGGGCTTAACTATAATGAGTGAGTAAATTCCGAGCCCTAGCACTAGAGTATATCAGTCAAAAAGAAGATAAAATTCAGTCAGGCCTAAGGGTTCATCAGCACAGCAGTATTAACAATTTTAATGATAATTTCTCTCCAAGAACAAGGCGGCTAAATCAACTTCGTCGAGATTCAAGAACTAGAAAACCAATGAGGAAACTTTAATCAGTTGAAACAAGTATAACTCAAAGCTCAGTTTAAAATAAAATCTATAGAACTTCCAACAGTTTGGAAGGGTGGCATTACAAAAGAAAACAGAAAACCTTAAAGGTTGCTTCCTCACCATAAAGTACACGGTAGGAATAAACTATACAAGGAAGATCAATCGATATGCTTATAACCGAGTTCTAAGTAGTGATACTTACTTGAAATCATAAAATCGAGGTTGAATTACTTGCCTTTGGTTTGATTGCTTTCTATACCATCTTGTACTGCTTTTTGGTCAGAAATTTGATCACAAAGGAAAGAATTTGATAGCCACAATCCAAAAACCAAATTTGAGATGTTATTATTCCAAAATCAAGCCACAACACTCATGTTTTTTTCTCATTTTGTAAATCCGAATTTCACCATTTATGTGTTCAGTTTTTGATGGAAAGGAAGTTATTTTGGAAGAAGTTGATGAAGGAGGTTAAGTTTCAAATTTAATTTCCAACTCCTCCTTCCAAAATTCATCTCCATGCAAACCGGCTAGGGTCAACCCACGTGGGCGGCCCGTTGTCTTCCAACGTAACATATCTACTACCGAAAGGGAACATCTGGTATGTAGAATTAGACAACAATGTACATTACAATACAGTGGACACAATTTTTTCTTTTTCAATACAGTGCATTTCAATAACCTAGTTCATTCAATGAATTTGAATTTAGTCCGCACATCTTCATTGAACCTCTCCAGTAATCAGTTACAATTATTTCTGTAGCAAATAAATTCAACTTGATATTTGCATTGACTTGAAGTATTGTTGGAATATGGGTCTTCGAGATCCTTTAGATACTCAACTGTAACTATTACATATACCATTTGCAATGACTTGGATACTTAGTACATTATTATCTCATCTAATGCTGGAGCAAATCGAGATCAAGAACAGCACTAGGTTGGTGACTTGGTTCATAAAGATATATGAGACTCATTAGTCTGAACAAAAAGCAATCTATCAATGACCAATCCATTGATGAAATGTTTGACACCAATGTTGTTTCAAGTCTGACAATGCCACACAGTCAATACATAAGTAAAAACAGAAAGAATAAAGGTTTTGATCTAAGATGGTATTTGGGGGGAAAGTATCCAAAAATTTATCATGTAAAAATACCCATAGTACCCAAGGAGTAAATAATCAAGTATCAAAGGCTCTAGAAGCATATTCGTTGACCCAAATTGAACCCCTCAATGCAAAATGAGGAGGATATTGTTACAAAATACAATCACTTCTCAGAAAACCTATTACAATCCTAAATAATGGCACTGTAAAGTGAGAAAAAAGTCAGAACGATATCGTCATGATCATGAAACATACAGAATCCCACGTCGATAAAGAGCAAGGATTACAGTTGTAAATACAGCCCAAACAAAGATAATCCACCACGCCATAAAGACTATGATTTCTTTAACCAAAACAAAGCAAGGCAATGAATTACATACCCATGGGAGATCTGTCAGCAAGTTATCGTTAATTTGAGATAAGCCAAGGAGAAGAAGTAACATGCCAGCAGGTAGAAACAACTGCAGAACTACTAGACTAATGTAATGGTTGTGTAGAAAAACCTTTGCCTGGCTATAGTCTAAGTCGGGAACCCTGCTTGCGTGCAACCTCTGGTACCAACATAAAACAGCTTCATTCAAGAATATTTGCGCGTTGGAACGGATAGTCAGGATTTGCAAAATACCCGTAATCAACAAGCACCAAAGCCTAAATTTCTCGAAAATCATTCTTGACATGCCAACATTCCCAGCCAATTCTGTGGCTGTCCCACTCTTGCTAGCTAAATTTGACCCTTTTTTTCCATCAATTGTCTTGTTAACAAAGAATTCTGCAAACGGACTAATCCAAAGCAATGAAGTGAACACAACTGATAAGTAATTAGCATAAAGAAGCATTCTTGCAATCCATCCACACGAAATTATAGACAAATTACATCGAATTTGATCAGTTCCAAGCCAAAATGCACGAGCATTCCTCAATGTTGGTATATAAAGAAAACCCACAAGGCAGCCCATGAAAACAGCGACAGTAAACTTCCCAAACCCATCCAATGATTGAAACCCAAAATCAAGAAGCCACTTAGGAACAAAATCATAAACAACAATTAACCCCAAAAGAAAACCCAAAAGCCCCAGTATGAAACTCAATTGCTTGTCCAATCTCTTCGATGCAGACCTTTCAAAACTTATTCTAACAATTAAAAACAGATCCCTACAAACTCCCACAATACCCAATAAAATAGGGATTATAGTCCCATTTCTCACAATGCCAGAATCCGAATCCACCCACAAGAATTTATGAAGCGCCAATGATAATATGGCTATAATTGTAAAATTAAACGCACTATAATACTCTCTGAAATAAATTCTTGATTGTAATTGACTTTCATTGAGTTTCAACCTAAAGATCTGAGCTTTATTCTCATCAAACTCAAATCTATCTTTGGATTTCTTTCTGGGTTGTTCAGAATCAAGTGCACCTGGCCTTCTAATGGCTGCTCTGATGCCTTTTGAGGATGTATTGTTGTTGGGATTTACATCATCTGGGTGTATGTAAGTGTGGAGGCCATAGAGAAATAGGGCAGGGATCTTGAGAAAAGAAAGGATGAGAGTAAGGGAGATTGCAAATACTGTGTGGAGGATTAGATTATTTGCTGAAGAAAGCATTTTACAGAAATTACTTCAATTATTTTCCTAGATTTGATGAGAGAATTTAGTGTTTAACGAGGAGAAACTGGAGACGAATTTGAAGCAATAACGAGAGAGAATTTGAATCCTATGCTTGGCTAGTTGTGTCTGCGTTTGGAACAAATCCTCCAATGTAGTTTGTAAAACTATGTTGTTCTTTAATTTTAAATAACTACTCCTTTTTATTCAATTTTTGGCAGAATAGTATCAACTATGTGATCTCGTTCAATTCATTATTGTTAAACATAAAAACTGATAATTTTCGTAAGTTTAAAAAAAAAAAAAAAAGGAAAAAAAAATTGTTTGGAGTACAAGAACACACCACACGATGATTCAATTTATTTATTATTTCATAGTGACATAAAACTGTAATTTTTTGTGCTATTTCTTTGTAACTTATCGAACAAAAATTTCTTTCAATTTATGCAATATATATCTCAATCGTTTAATCTGCATTCCTTCCTGTTGTAAATGCACATACGAATAAAGAAACACAATAAAAATCGAAAATAATTCCAATGCCTTAAAAATCAACAACAGAAGAACAACTGTTTCTACCTTGTGTCCTTTTATACGTACTGGAGAAGCTCAACCATCTAGAAGTTCAAAGGACAAGGTAACAGAATAAAAATCTAAAGTATTCTACAAATAAAGTAAAAGGAAAGGATTAAACCATTTGTACATTATTTGATCGATATGATTGTTGACACTTCATCTATTTTCAAATTGCAATTGGCAGGAAAGTGTGTTGCATTAAGAATTGTTCACTCATGAAATGACATGTGACACAATGTCAAAAAAGATGTCAACTGAAGTGTGCATATAGCATGTTCCAAAAGGAAATACGGTAAGCTAGAATTAAAACTGAAGACGGTGATTTGTTGTCTCGCGGAGTTGTGAACAATGTTCTCACGGAACTTTTTGCAAATTTAGCACATTACTAGTGAATACTTGACTTGTGGTTGTATCATCCTCCCTTAGACGAGGAGATTCGTCTTTGAATCTTGAACGAAGTGTTTTCAATTGTTGTCTCGTAACGGCAATAGGGATGTTTAGTGGCCCAAGCTGTGCATGATTAAAATTGTCAGCATAAACGTCATCAATTAAAGTAATCTCCACCTGTGATTAAAAAAAAAAAAAAGGATCTTGCTTATTTTGAGATCTGGATGTTTAATTCATTTTATAATATTTTAAATAAATGGACATGGATTGGGAAATATACGGAAATAACCTTTTCAAAAGGGTTACTTTTCCAAAATGACCCTTAGGCAATTTACATACCAAAAATACCCTTCATTTGGATATTGCATAACAAGGCATCATAATATAGAAATTTTCTATTTTAATCCTCAAAATTAAATGTTGGTTGAAATTTGATAATTTTTATTTGATTGATTTGATTAATATTTTTATTTGATTTAATTGATTTTTTTTCGCTCTAAGTAGCCCCTTAATTGGTATCAGAGCCATAGAGATCATGAAAATTAAAATAAGAAAAATAAATAATTATTGGTGTTTAGAAGAAGAAAAAGGTAGTTATATATTTTTTAAACATATTCATAATAAATTAAAAATAATGACTTTGACAATAATTAAAGAACTTCCTAAAGAAATAAAGGAACAAATATTAGAAACATTAATAATAGAAAAAATAAAAGATATTTATACATATGAAAAAATTATTAATATATATGAAGATGAAGAAAATAATTTATATTATAAAGAAAAGTATGAGTATAATTGATAATACACATCAAAAATTGAATAAATTACTTTTAAAAATAGATAAAATATAAGAAGAAATAAGAAATATAATGTTAGTACTAGAAGGAATGAGAATATCATATAATAGACAATTAACAAAATTAAAATGTGAAAGACTAAAACTTGAGAGCAAATATCTCATTATAGTAAAAGAAGAATTAGTAGATCCAGAAACAGTTAAGAGAAGATTTAGAAAAATAATAGATAAAAAAGAAAATAAAAGATGCAAATTAACTTATGAGTTAGAAATAAGAAAAAATTAAGATGTCAATAAGTGAATATATAGAAGAATTAAAATCATTAATAAAAATATTAATAAATGATGTACAAGATTTGAGAAATGAAGTAAAAGAAACAAGAAATGATATAAAAATATTAAAAATTGAGATTAGAGAATTAAAAGAAAATAATAAGAATAAAGATAAAAAAAAATAGATAAAAAGCTTATAAAAAAAGAAATGATTCGAATAGGAAAGAAATATATAGAAAAAGAAAATATAGAAGTAGAAACAGGAAGCATGGATGATGAATTTAGAAAAAATATATTACCAAAGATATTAGAAGAAGGAGAAGAATTTAGAAAAAAATCATTAGGAAAATTAAAAATAGAAGAAAAAGAAGATAAAAATGAACGAAGAGTTAGATTTATTAATAGAAAATTTTGATCAATTAATCTTAACTGATATAAGTGAATATCAAGTTTTAATGAATATTGGAGGAAGACCTAATCCAGCAGGAACCTCTAAACAAGAATTACATGATACAGATGAAAGTTATGCACCTATATATAATAAATCATATAGACAATTCTATGATAAAGTAAGAGACAAACAATCACCTAAAGGAAATAAATTTAAAGATAGGTTTGAATTAAATGATAATTATGATAAACCAATTAATCATAGAGGAACAAAACTAGATTTAAATTGTAAAATAGATACTAAAAAAGCCTTATTAACTTGGGCAGATTCGATGATATTATTCTTTTTATATAATAAAGATGACACATAGAAAAGTACTGAAAAAAGAATAGATTTCTTAATAGCATCCTTTAAAGGAGATGTTAGAAATTAGTGGGAAAGAATAAGTAATGATACAAAAATATTAATAAAAAGAAATGTACAGACACAAATAATAAAATCAGATAGATAAGATATAGAAAAATTAGTAAAATATATTTCTAATGAATTTTTAGGAGAAAATTGGATAAGAAATGCTGAAAGAAAAAAAGATAGCGCTAGGATTAAATTAATAAATTTAACAATATGTGATATGTGTAAAATTAAAGAATATACATGTGAATTTAGAAACTATTATTATGTTCAACTTTACAGTAATGAAAATCAAGAAGTATACCAAGATATGTACTATAATAAATTACCAGGTTCTTGGTGAATATATTTTAAGATAGAATTTGAAAAAAAATATGTTAGAGATAATATTGAAATACCTAAAACTTTAGGTTCAAGAATAAAATTTTTATTTGAAAGACTTGCATATATATGTCAACAAAGACAATTAATGAAAAATCAGGAAAATTAACTACAATATGTTGTGAAAATATAGAAACATCTGTGCAATGGGAATGTAATTCAGAAAGAAGAATAAATAAAAGAAAATATAAAAAAAAAAGTTTAAAAAAATTAGAAATTTTAATAAAAAATATATAAAATCTAGAAGAAGTTATTACAAAAGAAAAAATAACTCATATAACCAACAGAAAAATAAGAATTATAAGAAAAATAAAAGTCAATATAAATGTTGAAATTGTGGATAAATAAGTCATATAAGTCCTAATTGTGATAAAAAGAAAGTTAGATTATTACAAAAAGAATATTTAGAAATAAAAGATGAATTAAGTGAAATATCGGATATTGAAGAATATTATAATCAAGAAGTATATATAAATGAAACAGAAGAGGATGGATCAGGATCTGAATAGAGAAATTGAAGAAATAGAAAGTAATAACATAAATATGCAAGAATATGAAGGAATAGAAGGATATGGATTAAAAGTTACTTTTCATAATAACAAGTTTAGAAAATTGTAAAAATTATCATTAGACTTAAAAATAGGAAAATGAGAAGTCTTTGATAAAATTTGGAAAAGAGAAAGAATAGCAATAAATGAATATCACAAAATAGAAAAAATCATAGATGTAATAACAACTTATGGACAATATAAATTAAATTTTTTAACAAAAATTACAGTTGATGAACTATTGAAGAAAATTAGTAAAAAACAAAGTGAAAAAATTCAATATATTTATTGAGTAGGAATACAAATAATGTTTAAATCACTATTTAGAGAAGGGATAGATTCACCCTTAACTATAACTTTACATGATAGAAGAATAATAAATTTAAAAAATAGTCATTTAGGAATAATAGAAGGAAATTTAGTATATCAAAAAATCATGTTTACATGTTATCTAAAATATTGTGTATCATTGAAAGATAGAAACTTTAATGAAGTTTTAGGACTACATTTCAAACTTCATAAAGATGATATTATGCAACCAGGTAATCAAATTATGATTATAGAATATAGAGCTTTATACACATTTACCAATTCTAATTATGGAAATATTTATTCCAATAAACCACATATTGAAGTTCATAAAGAATGTAAAGATATTAGTAAAATAATAGAACCAAACAAACAGATAAGTTTAATTCCAGAAACATACGAATTTAGTATAACAAAAAATAAATCTGAAATAACAGAATTAAATGAAGGAGAATGTTCTAATATCATAACATTTAAGGAAGAAAAATTAATTAAAAGATCAAAAAGTTTTAAAATACTTAATAAAAACCAGTTAGAAGAAATCAACAAAATAAAAGAAGTAAAATTATATAGGAATGCTAGGAACATGAAAATAGAAGAAGAATATCATAATGAAAGAGAAAATATAAATGGACCAAATATATTAATAGATACAGGAGCTAGTGAATATCATATAGTTTCAATTAGAAATAAAGGTCTAATAACTCATAAAACTGAGTCATATAAGTATGTAAATTTTGATGGACAAGTACATATAACATATTTAGAAGTTAAGGTACCAATAAAAATAAGAGGAATATATCTTTTAATACCATGTTACATAGATAAAAGTATGGATATAAATCCTCATATACTTTTAGGAATGAGTTTTCTAAATGGATTAGAAGATTATAGTATAAAAAGAGAAGGATTATATATTATTCATAATGGAGGACAAACTACATTATGTAAAAAGAATTAGATAAATAATCAGATAAGTTTTCCATTAGTTGTGTATATACAAATCACTATTGTAGAAACAAATATAACAATTTGTGCTTTAATAGATACAGGAAGTGATGTAACAATATTTAAAAGTTTTTTAATAAAATCATGAA